AAACATAAAAGAGAAAGGTATAAGAAAGAGAATTACTCTTAAAATATTTTCCCATTCAACTAAACCTTTTTGATGTTTGCCTCTCACGAGTCTTTATCGATCATGACTGCCATGAATTAGTTATGATGATGAATTATGGATTTTTCTTAGATTTTTTTAGATTTTTCTTAGATTTTTCTTAGATTTTTCTTAGATGGCAAGTCTTCATCGGTTCGTCACGCGAATTCAATGCGTATCACTCGAAAGTCGTAATAATTCGTAGCATTATAAGTTTCAAGATCGCGGAAACCATCAAGCGGTTCAGTGCGCGTGAAATTGCATTGTCGTGAAGGAGCGTTAAATTTTATATTAATCGAAACGACCGTATGTACAATGCAAGTAAAAGCGGTAAAAATACCGATGTATTGTTGAAGTGTGCTTCACATATATCAAAAAAAAATTTTTTTTTGTTATTATTTTGAAGATATGCAAGTTTTCCTGAGCTGAGCACGTAGTAAGCCAGCACTTAAAATAAAAAAAATCATCAGTGCCGGTACCGGGGATCGAACTCAGGTTGCTCGAGTATATTGAATTAAAAGCGGGTGCAGGCCCATGAGCTGTCAGGCCTCTAGTTAGACTTTTTAATGCTCTTGTGTGTACGTTTAAATAAGATATTGAACTGAGTTGTTAACTTTATGGATGGAAAATCAATTAAGTAGCAATTTAATGTCAACACATCAACGTAATTGCAAACTCAAGTGTATATTGGAATGGCGCTGTTGGTTTAAATTAAATAAACTCTAGAAGAATTAAACAGGAAAAAATACAAAACCAATATCCCAACATCATGATGTGCTTTTGACTATATAATTTTTCTTTCATATTAATATTTATTATGTAACGTGTGCTTAAAAGATTTAATGTTATTTTCTTAAAATATATAATTGTAGCATCAATTAGGTGTAATTTGCAGTTTCTACGACTTCGAATAACAAATTTTATTTTATTTTTAAATATTGCAGAAAGTAAAATAGTGAGCAATTTTCATCAATGTTGATTTTTTGTGGACTATTTAGCAGTTATAGAAATTTGTATCAGATGAGCACATGAAACACAGATTTCTGTATCAGCAAATCCAGTGAAACTATAAATGTTGAATACTTTCAGGACCACACATTAAAAGAAAGAGCATTGTAAACGATTCAAATTTTAAACGAAGTTAACCTTGAAATAGATATTAACATAGTTTTATAAATAGTTATGATAATTATAATTAAAATCGACATAAAAATTTTGATATGGGTATAACATAGGAATTAAAATTATATATAAAATTTATATCACTATATCAACAGTTCCTACACGAATTATATTCATTTCACATCTTTTGAAGGAAACATTTCACTTCGTGAATAATTTTGAGTTAAACATCATATCAAGATTCCGAACGTCTTACGCATATATAGGTCGGAAATTCTCCATCCTTCTCTACATGCGTTTAATATAATATCGACACAAGATAATCGCGCGATGTAACATCAACGTATAATGGCACGTTAGCTCCCATTAGCGCGTTCCTCGTTTGCTAAATCATTTTAGCAATTGATAAATGAATGTGTTTTACGATATCCTTTCATAATTGCTTATTGAATTGGTTTTAATTCGAAGTCTACGGCAAAAGTTCATTTTCATTATTCCTTTGATGATGATATAATCCATATTTGTTCTAGAACGAGAGCATTTCACAATGTTGCATATACTTGTAGTCCCGTGTTCTAAATTTTAAAATAATAGCCTTTTATGTCATTACCTTTACTATTATTTTCGGCTCATCTCGCGTTCCGGTGAGGTAGCGTCGGAATGGATAGCTAAAAACTTAAACTAGTACGATTCAGATCGAGACATAACACAGCGAATATCACGATCATATTATTTTTTTTTATTTTTTTTTCATTACCAAGTATGTATACGACAGAGTAGAAATAACAGAGACTGTACATGACAGAGTAAAAGCATTAGCTTGAGATTACTCTGTATTTATTCAGGGTAAATATTTTGAACAGAAATTTAATACAGACGGACACAGAAAATTGTATTGACAGCTCAATTTAATGCAAATATTAGTTTCTTCTACATTCCAGAATATTCCAAATTGTTAAAATTATTTCAGAATAAAACCAATAAAATAGCTTTATTCAACAACTTTATATTTTAAAATGTTCAATAGAAAGAATAGAAATAAAGAATACCTTCACATTCACAATTTGAAAAAAATAACAGCACGGAGTTATTCAAGCAAATAAAGATCAGTGTTACAACAGCAAAATAAGTTAACATGGATTATGAGTTCACCCCAGCTAAGCATGTGTTCGGGCCGATTCCATATAAAATGTGTAAAAATATTGGATGTAATGCTACATCGGATAACCGACTTTATAGCATCTTATCAGATTACTGAATGCCTTTTTTACTCAGAGTCTTACACCCAGTTTCCGAAAGCGCAATCAATTTTATCGTTGTTTAACATGATCTGAGTTGCTAGAACGTCTTAAACAATTGATTTGATTTGCAATTAGTCACTGATTAACGGACAATCAACAGAAAATCGTCTGTTTCTGAGTTTTTTCAAAGTTTCTGAAAGCGTTTTTGGGTGGTCAACGAGCTGTCAAAAGTTTTATTAAGTAATCTGTCAATTTGGACGATCAATCGTTGGTTAAAAATGTTACTTATCAAAAATCTTAGTTTTTATTAAAAATAAACATAATTCCCTAATACGTTGTTAGGACATTCATGTGTTCTATTACCTATTTATTATTTATTATTATGCGAACATATCATGCGATTAGAAAAAATACAAAATGCAATTCAAAAGTTAATAAATAATATGGATTCTTTCTTTTTATAATACTTACTTGTTTATTATGGATAAAAGTTCATTTTTTTCACGTTTTGTAAAGTTTTTTCTTGACATTTTGCATGTATTTATATAAATTAAATTTTATTATAGCTCGGATTTTTACGTTGGCAATCATACGGTGACAGGACGGGATAGTGACGTTAATTTAAGTTTTGTTTAAAAAGGGACAGAGCTATACAATAGAAAGAGTTAGTTGAAGTAAATCATTCATTTCATTCATTATCATTGGTTACACAGTGATTAGCTAATTTTTCTTGAACAAACCTTCCAGAAACCCAAGGCAGTTTAACAAGAGATTAACAGCTGATCATTTTGACATAGTGTTATGTGATTGCTGCTTTGATTGGCCTTTCGGAAACTGAGCATTAGTCACAATATTAACCGCACATTTTCCTTTAGCTAAACGTATATTATTTGACATCTAATCGGCTGATTATCAGATGACATGGAGTTGTCCGAGTACATTAAAAATAAAATAAAAAGGCAGAAAGGGTTAGGGAATTAAACTAGACATATGGTGCCTTACGTTGGAAAGGAGGGTTAAAGAAATTGCAGTGATTTAAAATGGAATTATAACAAATTGCTAAAATAAGTCATTACAATTTAATAAATAACATTAATTAAACAAATTATAAGTTTAATTTCGCAAATTCGAATGCAACAGAAAGTCTGGCAGATTTATGTTAAATGATAAATATACATTCGAACAGTTAAAACAAAAAGCTCCATCCAGTTTACAGTTAACATACAATCCTTTGACTAAACATCAACTAAACTTTGTAAGAAGATTACTTAATAAAAATAAGTTTGGGTAATCATTATTTATATTAATTACCTGTGAACCTATTTCCCCTTGAAACGATATAATAATAATAATATTTTTTCTTAGTTTCTCACCACAGTATGTAATAGTATTTCGAAAAATGTATGTTCAAGTTAACTTTTTATATTGTGGGAAGCTGATGCACCAAACCAGGCTTGGGCTTATTGTTGGGTCATCAGGTCCCCTCTCCTTATTGTATTTACAGTTTCAAAGACGTATCTTTTAAAGATCTTTATCCTTTCCATTTTAGAAGTTAAGTTTGCATTTTGAGATTTAATGAGAACATAAAGTTTTCTCTTAATAAGTGATACCGATAAAAGGTTGCTTATAAGCTACAAAAAGGTAAATTCACCCAGAACATAGCCAAATTAAATCTCTTACACCACCTTGTAAAGCTAATCGACTAATCGTTCAACGAAAGCGGAAATCTAGATCAGTCGAAAAGAAGGGAATGAAGTTCAAAAACGAAATCGGCGCTAGAATTCCTTCAAAGTGGAATCCTTTAGTCGCGGAGAAACGGCGGGGAAAAATTATTTGCGCACCTCCCCGAGGTAAATGATGATCGACAACAGTTGAGTAATTCGTTGATGGAGTGAGTTCACGCTAAGCTTATTAAACTTATTAATTTGATTACCCGCCTTGTCAATAGGGGGGCGGATTTTGAATCTCGCTTTGCATCCCGGCTAATCCATTACCAATCGCAAACATTTTACTTACTATAAATACAAAATTATATTAGATAGGCTGTTACTTTTACAAAATTAGTAAAAGTCGAGAGTTTTACCGCGTACATATTACGCTTAAAAATAATTATAATCTGACTACTATTTACTTGAATAACAAAAATAGGCGGAAACCATACAATTTTGCGAAAAAAAAAAAAATGTTAGCTCGTTATTTTCACTAAGGAAATCCACTATTTTTTTTACTTAAATCAATAACGTTATTTATAATTCAATATATATAACTTAATATTTACACGTAACTCCTGTGAAATAATGCATGAATGAGAACGGTTGAACAGTAATAATTGTCATTATCATAATTATTCCATCGTCGTCTACCTCGTATGACACAATCGAAGCTGAGATATTGGCCATCAAACAACATCATTAAAAAGTACTAATGAATAAATACTCTTTTCAACAAAATACGCTTAACGTAAAAATAGTAGATTCAAAATTCGAACTTTTCGAACCGACGCGCCTTTTGGCACGCCGCTTAAATAATACGCAAACTATTTACCACAGAAAATCCCACAGCACTTCACTCAAGTTCTCACACGCTCCATCCGACGTGTCTCACAAGTTTTCTGACGTTATCTGTACCCGGCAGCACCGACGCGTTTATGTAAGCGAGGGGAGCGTCGCAGTACGAGGGACGTGCTTTCCCCAAAGCGTTAACGGCCCGTCTGCCGTTTTCGGCCCGCTCCGGCCTCTTACACACCAGTCCTATAACTGCATTGCGACCTACGGCCTACCGAGATTAAGGGGGCTTCCTCATCGCCGCTTAGGCCTTGTCTAATTGATCTGCCCATTTTGGACGCACCCAAACGGTCTGGTAATTCCACGCCTGGATTACTTTCGTCCGCGCGATCTGGGTCTTGATGGGTTCCGTCGTCCTGAAGCGCTTGGTAAAAGACGTATGTTTTTGCCCCTGCTCCATTTGGTAATCTTTAGTTGCGTAGGATTTATAATATTGCACACAGGAAGTAATGAACAGGAAATAAATACTATGAAGACTTGGCGCATTATAAGGTTAACTCAAGCTTAAACTGTAGGTACGCGCTAAGTTGTAGTGACATTTTTATTAAACACAACATTATCTGCCTCAACTAAATATGAAATAAAATTTTATATTTAAATTATAAACCGAAACCCATTTTTCAGTTGTGTGTTATAAATTAAGTGAAATAAAATAAAAAACAGTAAATTTCACACTATCCTTTATACATTATACAACCAAACCTTCTTTCTTCTGCACCTCCCCCTCCCTGGCGGGTTGGGCACATCATGTGAATAATGGTCGTCAAGGGCTAGACTTTCCTAACCAGCCTGAATGTTATCCATACTGGAGAACAAACACTCAGACCCAGAACAATTATCTGTGGGTCCACGAATACTTGTCCCGTACGGAAATGAACACGCGACCGATGCCGTAGTTTAGCTTAGCAGCTCCACCACCGTGACATAATTAGGCAGCCAAACTAAAGAAAAACTTTTCATAACATTTTCAGCTATTAAGAAGATCAATTCTAAACAAAATTTTTGAATAACTAATAAGTATACACACATACTATAGTGTTCGTTCAATGCTAACATTGCATAAGAAATAAGCGTCCATGTTGGACAATTTTCAATTGACGTCAAATAGGGAAAAGATCGGGTGATAAGCCTAATAAAGTTTCCGACTCGTTTCGCTTAATGGAAGGGATTTGAGTGGCAGCGTCATAACGCAGCATCGTTTTATTGCTGTCATTGGGCTTTCGCCGGCCTTTGTGGTAATTTAATCGTTTCCTAGATTGCCGGTGCCAGTATTGCCGGGGTTTTTACTTAATCGGCAACCGATATTTTTGTCGCATATTTTTTCTATATTTCTCCCCCGCCACCCCTTTTTTCATGTTCTCATATTTAATTTGTTTCGAATGTCGCTGCGTAAGAAACATCGTTACGCAGTCGTGTATCATATTCGTTCACCAGACGAGCGTTAACTGAAAAAAGGAATAATAAATGAACTTGAGAGTATTTCATGTTTATATTATCGCAGGGAGAATATTAATCTTTTTTTTGTGTAACTCTAAATCTGTTGAGCACAGGAAGAGAGAAAGTTAATTAGTTCTGTGTACTTTTCTTCGAGTTACTATTGAAAATCATTCGTTTTGAATTAACCTTGTTCCTTCTTTTTTCATATCTTGGATGAAATAAAGGGTTAATAAATGGGATAATTTTTACGAAAACAAAGTTTTAATACGTGTATTATATGATTTATATGTATTGTGAATTTGAAGTGTAAAATTATTTAATCAGAAACGTATTGATTATTCATTTACAATTAATAAAATAAAAGTTAAGCCCATAATTATGTTTGTAAAAGGGGTGAGTACAGAGGTGACAACTGATAGGGCAAAAACCACTCATATTATAAACATTGATGGAGCAGGAGAGCTTTATACCTATTGGTAGCACAAAGAAACAGGATTAATTATCGATAACTCATACAAATACCTTCTTGTGGGTTAGAAGTTGCAACAATGAGATATCGACTTTAATTACGGTTAACACGAACTGCGAACAAGACAAAATATTACGAAATCATTCTAGTTTTATTTACATGTATATTATTTTAGTGTCGTTTTAGCTAATTTAAACAAAAGAAATGAAATTACAAATCTGTGTAATCGAAAATATTTTTTAATTAGCAAAATAATATTTTAATCGTTAAGCCATAATATTCATTGTGGCTTAACGATGGTAATATTCGATTGAACATGATTCGTTGTAAAAAAATAAAACCGGTTGAAATATGGAGCTCTTAAGTATCGCAGCAAACGCGGAGACACCTGAAAGCTAAGACAGTATAAAATAATAGTTATATAATTATAACCTTTAATGTCTGTGGCCGTCGAGTGGAAAGCGAGTGGTATGCAGCAATGATTTTTCTGTTTCCATACAACATGTGTTGTTGTTGCTATTTCAGTTGATCTTTTATAAGTACAGAAAAAGGTTGTAAGAGCTATGAACTTTTTATCCGACTGCACCAGAAGGAGGAGGTGTTTTTCAAGAGTATGTATGTATGTATAATTGTTTGGCACGCTCTGCAGCCTGAACGGCTTGATAAATAGCTTGAGAGGTGTCGTTAGATTCGTTTTTACTGTGAGAGTGACACTGGGTATATCGAAATAAAAATACACACAGAAACGCAGTCGGGTTTTATAGTTTTTTAAATTATATTCCACTTGTTTTCTTGTGTTGGTAAAAGTTAAAGAAAAAACCTTTTTTCACTAGAAACATCTCCAGAAAAAGCTCATAATCGCCACAAAAGGTGTGGTCAGTATGGCTTTACAATTTCATGTCATTCTCAGATGTTAACATCCGCCACTGGGTGCGACGTTATGATTACGTGATCATTGTTTGGAAGTGTGGATCAGTGGTTCCGAGGTTCTCGAGTGGCGACCACGAACCGAAAGTCGTAGCGTTGGAAGGCCTCCGTCTACGTGGAACGATGACATCGCTAAAGCCGCGGGCAACCGATGGATGAAAATGGCAAAGTGTCGTCCGTTGTGGCGTTCTAAGGGGGAGGCCTATGTTCAACAGTGGACGTCTTTCGGCTGATGATGATGATGGTCATTGTTTATGGTCAACTAACGGCCAGTTTCAATATTCGATCAGATACAGATACAGATAGATACAGATAGATACTGGAGATAGAATTTTGACGTAAGTATTATGGAGGTAATATCAAATACTTATGAGGCTGTAAATGTAGCAATACCTGCAGAAAGCTCACACAATAGTACATTGTACCTCTTGGACAATATAAAACGCAATCATTTAAATAATACATTCTTTAAAAAAAAAAAGAAGACTGATTTTATCGCACTTTATTTTGTATTTTAAACACCCGACGTTATGAATGCTTTGCTGTATTCATGGACACGGGCTGGACTACGTCTGTATTATTAATGCAACAATGTACAATTTTTATATTAATTAACATTTGTTTACTCTAAGATGTTCAATTTTTTATTAGTTGTGGTAATTATTAGATGTGGTAATATTTACGTTCGTGGCGTCTGCGTATTTGCTACAGCTCTTAAGGAGATGGAATGCGAACGACACTGTTTATTCTGGTGCGTTCTAAATCCGTGCCTGTAAAATACGTTGTACGGTTGTGGCGGGAACAAGAGCCAGTACTTTGATGCAACTCTCACGATATAATAAACAATTATGTTTTAGCGTGGTCACTTTTTTCAAGAGTGACATGTGCATACGTAGCGACAAATAAATGTGTTCGAGAGCTGCTTACGTTAAGACTACTCGGAACTTTACTTGGCATTCCGCTTCGTGCTCTCGTACGGAACAGATCCCTCTCTAAGACGGAGGATACATGCCACCCGAATTAGAGGCTTCTCGCAACCTCGGTTGCAATTTGAATCTTGCTGCACTGCTTCCACTGCTATCGTCGCGCAAATCAGCGCGAAGCAAGGAGTTTCAAGAAAGAAGACGGAAGGAACGTTATAGAAGAGAGAAAACGTTACAGAAGAAAGAAGAATACTTATTATATAATTTTGAGTTTGACTGTCAGTACTGTTTTTTTTTTTTTTCAAAATGAAGTCCATGACTATAGTCATGGACTTCATTTTGAATATTACTCATAATGCCTATTTTGCCTGTGCATCTAATATTTTATATTCCGTGAATTACAATAAAATTAACTAGTATGTCTAATTAATGTTATTCACGAGTTTACCTCATCTCATCTAAATTAAGCTGGTAACAATGTCTGAGTTCCAAATAATTTGCGGTTACTACTTACAGGAGGACTTTTCGCTTATCAGACAAAATTAGTTTATTATATGTTTTAGAAAAAACATAAAAGGAAAAAAAAAACGGGAAGAACATGCGGCCTCATAATGTTTATGACGTAAAAATCAGATTATGAAAATGATCTCAGTTCGTCTGCTGTTCGCGATTCCAATCTGCGTGGATAACAGTCAACGTAGGCGACAACAAAACGCTCTGCAAACGAAGACTTTTGGGTAGTTATATAAAATAAATAAACATTTTTATGATATAACTGAGCAATATTTATAGTTTAATTTTCTACACCATCCAATGTTATAATTCTCTTCTATATTCTTACATTGAAGAATCGAAGTATCTAACTTTATAAAAACGAGATATTATTAAATCATAATATAATATGTGTTATTTAGGTTTTACTAATGCATAATTTTTCAGATCAATTTTTTATTTATTACACATTTTCCTTCTTATTCTTAAACCAGCGAGCGGGTCCTTTAGTTGTATCTGTCCGGAAATACGTACCTTTGCCAAAATTTTAAACATACAAATTTTACCCAATATTTAATGCTGGCTTTGTAAAATCGGCCATAGTGATATAAATTGCAGCGGCTTTTTGTGTCTTAGAGATCAAGCCAACAGTATTAATCGTGCCTAACAAAAACCTAAAGTGAAAAGTTGGGTATTCGCTCTTGAAAGCTGTTTTTCATCTCTTCCCCCTCTTTGTCGCTGGCGTCTTCCATTTGGCGGCGCGCATTTTCTTTACTTCAGCAAAAGTAGAAGCGAAAACAAACTCGCGTTTAAATAATTGGAAATATACACATTTCCATTATATCTACCAATAGAATCTATACTATACTAATATAATAAAGAGTTTGTTTGTTTGAACGTGCTAATCTCAGGAATTACCATACATTGATCAAAGTAGAGGTTAAGTAATCAGCTGCAAAACGGCTTTTCAAATGTCATTTGAGCTGCCAAAAGGATGGTTAAACTCACTGAATTGATCAAAATGATCTTCTTAATGATCAGTGTTTCAGAAACCGGGCGTAACTCTAAGGTGTTTAACATCTCCCTAAGAGCTACGGACGCTAAGCATATACCTACGTTTCTCGCGGATGAAATAGCATGGAACAGCAAGTA